TGCATATCCTGTTTGGTACCTTACCATCTTGTTTTGTTTGTATGACCGCCATTGTTTAAAACGACTCGTGAAGTTGGACCCGCTAAAAGAGCGAGGTGCGTGAGAACGCTGGGACCCTTTTCCCACCTGGATCCCCGCTCTTTTTCTTCCTTATGTCCCTCCGTTGTCGCTCTAACTTGCCCCCACTTCCGCTCCGCCTTGGCCGTATCTAGACCCATAGCTAGTTCCTGATTGTCCCTCTTGCGTTGTGGCGTGGAATAACATAGCGCAGACCACGCTTCAGTATTGGGCATAAATCAAAAATATCTGCAACAAACTCACTGCGACACACTGCTGCGGAAGTATAGCCAGGCCTTAAGACATACGGTGTTTGGATTGCGGATTTGCGTAAATGACGCCTCACATTCTTTACCAATAAAATCGTTCTGGTTGGAATCAGAATTCCTAATGGTTACGTTTATGTAAACATGCTTAATTTAACTTTAGAGATATTTGTTTTTCAAACTGAAAGAAACATCTAATGTGATCTCAGTCTTCAGCAACTTTTCCTTTGCATGCGTAAAGATTCACAGTCATCCAGGTCATAGCCATTTTGACTGTTTTTGCAGGTTAGAACACGTTTCCCTTCCCATCCAGGAAGCTTTTTCAGTTCTATAATTCAGTCATTCAAATATTTTTAACTAATGTGAGGTATAAAGCTTATGTTGTCAGGTATAAACCTGAAAACAACTGAAAAGGCAAAGCAGTGAAAAGCTCAATTAACTACACCATTGGCTGTTGTTTTCCTTAGTTAGTTGTAGTGATCACAAATATCCTAGCATTTCCCAAAGGTCCTTTGGATTTACATAAGAGCAAGCAGATACGGATTTCCTGAAAGACTGATTAATGTAAACCAATCATTATCTCTGTATAGGTCTAACAAGCATGTAATGGGCTTTTTCCTTGGTAAAGTTCAGCTTATTGTTGGAAGTAACGACAAAAGCTTCTTAAAGATGGCAGAACAGGTTGTGGCCTTTAAAACCGACTTAAGGAGAGGCGTATTTGATCCGGTGCGTGAAAACGCCGTATCCTCATAACATCCTGTGTATGACTGCAAAGCCAAAGTCCAGCAAAATGCAGAACACAAGTGTATCCAATCTATTTCTACGCCATATCTAAGCCTTTGTGTGAAGGCCTGAAGGGACTTGTTTTCCAAACATCTGCAACCATAATAGACTTAACTAACAGAGGCCCTTCCATGAGCCCAATAGGTTCAATTTGTTCTGCTAATCATTACCGGCTTCTCTGCCGCAGTGATGGGCGGTGTCGTTCAATGAGCCTGAATGACACCCTTTGCATGGACGCTCCAGACAAAGAGGGAGACCCTGCTTTTATTTTTTAAGGGGGGGACCAGTCAAGCATTCACAAACAGATTGGTAACCAGTCAGGTCTTCAAAGAGACAAAGACAACGGGGTGGGCTGCAGGGATGGGACGGTGGGGCGACTGTGAAGAAGAATGACCTGCCAAATGAGAAAGAAGACTTATTGAAAGGGACAGAGTGGGAGAAAGGAAAAACATATTGAACCAATAGAGAAGCGCAACCTTTTGACCATCTGACTCAGTGGGTGACAACAGCCTTCATTTGTATTTTTAGAGCTGTACAACACACCAAATTACTCTGTCAGAAAGATTAAGGAGAGTCAATGGGCTGTCGAGTGGAAAAAAAGGGGCAAAGTCATCCCAATGTGGAAACTTTGCATGTTTGTGTCTGAAGCTACAAAACTTTTAAGTTGTCAAAAAAAAAAAAAAAAACTCCACATGGAGATCATTCAGAAAAATAAACAGGAGCCCAGGCTCCAATTTGTGAAATAAAAATCTCATTTATGTTTAAACATGGTTGAGTACATCTCCAAACTGATTTCAATTTCGTCACCCTTTCCTTCCTGTGGAGAAATTTGCAAAGGACTTGACTCTGAAAACCCGTTTTCGCTGCATTAATTCCATCATTGCTAAAAGGCAGAAATGCTATTTTTTCCCCCTCAGAGCAAAACAAGACTCAGATCTCCATGACTAATCTCCCACTGCGGGTACTGTGTTTTGGTCTGAGTCTGATTTTTTAGGCTTTGTTACAGATTTGGAAAACCGATTTTGTTTTGTTTTTAGCAATAAAGTGGCCAAACATAGAACAGATAAAATCCACTGCCTGGTTCAGAAAAGGCTTTATGGTTATCTTTGCTCCCTTATAATTATGCTGTGAACACTCAGTTTCTGGTAAAGGTAACTGGCCAATATTTAGGATCCATTGAAGGGCTTTTTCCTGGATGCATTGCAGCTCCCTCCGTCTGCTATCCATTGTGAATGCTCTGTTTCTTTCGCTAATACAGGTTTCTGTTTTTTATTTTTAAATTGAAATTAGTTTAACATTTGATATTATTATTATCTTAAGAATGTAAATGGTGAAAGGAAATGTAATATTGACTTTCAATCAGCACCAAAAGATCAGCAGCAAATATGAAAGATTGGTCAGACCAGGCCCAGGACCCCCAAACTGATGGCGAGATGGAGCGGGGAACCTCTAATTACATATATTGTATGAAATTATGTTCTATCAAACTGGTCCTATAGTCCCTCTATTACAGATGGAGTAATGTAATGAAAGTAATTTCTCCCTTGGATTATTAAAGTATTTCTGATTCTGATTCCTGGTTGATGGGACAGGTGTTTTGAATGAAACGGTGCCCAGCTTGAAAGAGTTCCTGTGTGTCTCTGAATGTGAGCATTGATGACTGAAAGTAAACATTTATCTGTTTACTTCAGTGTGTTAAATTCATGTTAATGTGGATTTAAAGACATTGAATTAGTGGAAAAAATTGCAGGGGGGAATATAAAAGAAAAGTCTACTCAACAAAACCTTTTGTGACCCCCATGCAGTACCTCTGTGGACCCCCTAGGGTTCCCGGACCCCCTGTTGAAGACCTCCTGCCTAGGGGAAGAAACTGGATTTGTATTGTGTTTGTTAGGAAGGGCAGATTTTTTTGTATTGCGCATTTCAGTAACTGGAAAGTACATTGGAGTACCATTGAAATTTAAAAGTACCAGCAGGTAAAATGTATGCACAGGATGTGAGGGGTCTGCAGAGATGTTAGCTGCCTGGACAACTCCTGGAAAGAAGGATGCAAATACTCCCTACTCCCCGTTCCACAGGGAGTACTTTAGGATGAATGGAGGGAGGATCCGTTCAACGACAATCTCTGCAGACAAAACCTAACTTACAGTTACGCAAGCTAACATGAACTTAAGCTAAACGAATCAATCCAAAATGTTAAAAAGCTACAAATTTTTCAATTTAAAAGAAGTTTAGCCCTATAGAGCCTGCAACATGAAATAGACAGAGTTCTAGAATTAAAGCTGTCATCAAATGTTTTCACAAATGAAATAAAAAAGAGTTTTGTATAAGTTCAATTGGATCATTTATTTGCATCAATTTTGATGCTTTATGCATTTATTGATTATCTGTGCATTGCATGTGTCTGATTGTGTAAGTCAGGGTTTTAAGAACAAAAACCTCACACTGATGATGCAGGGTCTTAAGGACTCCTGTATCAAATATGATACATTTGGCCTTAAAGCACTAGCTAACTTTTAAGAATTTGGATCATTGATTGTTACATGTTGCAAGTTTTTTTACTATATATTAGAGCTTTTTTAGACAGATACCTTTGCTAATTCTGCTTGTCAGGGTTATTTGTGTTCCTTGATTTTTCACCAATGCGGATCATGTATTAAAACCATTTGACAGTGCAGTCGTGCTCCTATGGCCACCATTTTTAATGCTTGCTCCACTACAGATATTGGGTCACTCTGCTTTATTTATTCAGAGTTTTTGGTGAAACATGCATCCAGACACAAAAGCTTTAATCTTTCCCATTTTTTCAGCATTATTTCCAGTTTCACTAAGACAGTAGCTTAACAAATTCAATTCAATTCAGTTTATTTATATAGCGCCAAATTCACAACACATGTCATCTCAAGGCACTTTACAGTTCAACCAGATCATACAGTCAAATTGATACAAAGTTTTCTATCTAAGGAAAACCAGTTGATTGCATTGACTCATTGACTCAAATACAATCCCCCACACTAAGCATGCTTGTAGCGACAGTGGAGAGGAAAAACTCCCTTTTAACAGGAAGAAACCTCCAGCAGAACCAGGCTCAGTGTGAGCGGCCATCTGCCGAGGCCGACTGGGGTTCAAGGAGACAGAAGCAGAGATACAAAAAGCAGCTGTAAAAGGCGGCCCCGTCCAGGAAACACACAGCCAGGCAGACGAGCTCCAAGGCAGCTCCCATGCCAGAGGACGAAGAGAGCACATCCACTCAGTCACGGTCAGAGAAACAGGACCACACTGGAAAACAGGCCGATCTCCAACATCTATTAACAAGGGTGTTGATAGAAGCAGCACAGCTGATGTTTTTTTCCAGGATGACGTCACAGCCAAACAGGAACAGACGAGGCAAAGCTACTCTGAGGAAAAGCAGAGAGAGCAGAAGGTTAGAGCAAGCAATACTTACATATACTGATGATATGTAAACGCTTTATGGAGGTTATATCTTGACTCCAAACTAAGAACAATCCTAATGTTGTCCACTAAAAGTACTTATACCTACCTACTCTACTACTTTAGATTAAGTGTAGTGTATTATATATCTAAAACAATGCATTAAATGTAAAAGGAAAACAGCGCACTTTTGGGTGAACTGTGCTGTTTTTATCACTTAGGTGGGTTTATTCTTATTTAAACCCTTAGAGGGATCATGCAGGGGCACTCGTCTCCTTAGCTTACCATCTACCTCCTAAAACTTCTCTCCTTTCATTCCTCTATCCCATGCTTGCCTGATTTTTCCACCCCCACCCCTCCCCTCTCGCTGTAATTTCACCCCTGCCCTGCTGTCAATCCTCCTCCCCTCCCTTTCCTCATTCTACTTTCTCCACCTCTTCTCTGTCCACTGCTCATGGTGGGAGATTGGCGGATTACGCCAGAGCCAGGGGGAGGTTGTCCCACTGATTGTAAAGAGAGGGACAATAGGTCCTTTAGTCTGATTGGGTCCCCACGTTGGCAACACCCGGAATGAGAGTGCACAGCCAGCCGTTATAGAAGCAGCATGAGAATATGCAAGTTTATTTATATGTAGATAGAGACCAGGGGAAACTTTATAGAGAGGCCAACAAGAGAGAGCACTCAGTCAAGGTGACTTTAACAGAACTGATGCACATCAGGAGAGTTCTACACTTTTTAGAAAGGGTTCAGGCTAAGAAGAGCAGAGCGATAATAAATAGACAAACAAGTGGAAGAGGAGAAGACACGGCATAAAAAAGGAAAAAGGTAAGGCACTGACTCATTAGTTCTTTTAACACTGCCAATTAAAATAAACCTTCAAACATTTTAATATTTTCAAGGATGATTTAAAGCTGTCGGTTGTTTTTGTAATTCAATCAGGATGTGACTTAGGGACTGACTGCTGACAAGTAAAGAGTCTGCATGCAGTTTAAAAAGTTTGAGGCTTTAATTCCCCGCACGTCTGCACTTTGCTACTTCAAACAAGCCATGCTGAAGGAGAGGATAGCCTATCTGCCTTTTACGGACCGTCGTTTGGCATTCAGACCTCATTCCTCAGTCTGAGCCAAGGTTCTACTCTCCCAAGATGAGGACTCTTTTTTTTTCAATTTTACTGTCAAACCTATTAAAGTACAGCCCGTCTTGCAAGGCAAGAAAATAAGGTACGAGATTGGCATGTGCACTCTGGCTGCAGCGTGGAGACGTTTCTTTGCTATTATCATATCAGGGAGAGGCGGTAAAGACGGGCTTTGGGTTGAGATATCTTCAGTGACATTGGAGGCGTCTGACAATGGGCTTTAAGAGGACATGAAGCTTCTCCTTTCAAAGGAGATCCAACTTGCTGTTTTTAATTAATGACACTCACTGTAAACCTTACTGGATGACGCTTATGCAAGGCGACATAACTTTTATCCACCAGTGGTTGGGATGAAAGCCAGCTTGTGTGATTTAATTTCTATACAGTTGTTGGCGGCATTAAAGCCAGAGTTTGTGTTCTGAAAAAAATTAGACCTGACTTTGTAGAGTGTAATTATCAGTATTAGAAATGAGAGATGGCTACCACAGAAGAAGGTAATCTAAGTGAATTAAATTGATGCAAGATAATTAAAATGATTAAAATGCAAAGTTTTGAAGAAGTAAAGTTAGATGAGATAATTAAGGGTAAGTAGCTAATAAAGTCTCTTTAGGCCAGTGTCCTTCAACTTTTAGATGTGCCTTTGGTTCAACACACCTAAATTAAGTAATTAGATAATTGAAAGGACACTGGAGGAACTGACTTCATACTGAAGAGGTAACTCAGCCTTTTGATTCAGGTGTTTTGGACTAAAAGTTGCAGGATACCGGCCCCCAGGAACTGGAATTGCCCACCCCTGCTGAAGAGTTTCACGTGATATTTAAGCTTATGTCCCTGTGCATCCATGGCCTCATGTCTAAGTCAGGTTATGGGGTATCAAATACAACAAATGTTTCAGATGCAAACGAGTAAAAACTAAAAAAAACGGGTAGAAACTGAATTAAAATTGCTTAAAATTTAAAAATTTGCTTTAAATCTTCAGTAGCCAACAAGTTTTATCACCAATGGTTATTCCTATTTATCAAAACTAAATACCCTTTATTGAGTCATGGAATCCAGAGAGGTTGCAGACGATAAAGGATCACGTGTTTATACACTCCATTATGTTTGAATATGAACCTTTTTACAAAACTGCAGAACAGAGAGGAATAAAAACGGGGCACTGATCAACATGGCTGCCACCACAAAACTAAAAAATCAGAAGAAATATATAAAAGCTTCAAAATGTGGTTGCTCTGCAATCTGACAGCAGTCTCCTGTTATGCACATTTGTCTGAACTCAGCCGCAGGGTTTCAAGACAAATGCCTTTTCATCCAAAGAAAACATTAAGTCGTGGCCAAAAAACCTTTTTTTAAATAAAGTGTTATAGTCTGAGACTAAACCTGAACATCTGGGCAACAAATGGCAATGTTATAGTTGGCACAAAAACACCAAGGTTACATGAGGGGGGAAAACAGCCACATCTAAATGTGGTGGTGGGACTATTATGCAGTGAACATTTCGAAAGATGGAGTGAAGTTTGTGTGTGTATGAAATTATTGGCTGTGACCCAAAACCTTCAGGCGACTGCTAGACATTTGAAGAAGGATTTTATTATTTAGGATCAAAGGAAACGTGCACAGAAATCCAATCCATCCTAAATATGGAATAATGTCTAAACTCAACCAAAATAGACTTAATGCAGATATTAATCCAAAAAGTGATTCAAGGAAGTATTACTTTAAGGCTGTGCCTTCATAAGTGTGTTCTTTAGTTGATTAGATGATCATTGCCTAAAAATTCTAACAACTGTTTTGGATCCACTTCAAATGGACCCTGAGGACGGAAATGAAGAAACAGACGGTTGAGCAGAAACACAGATGTTGAATTGTGGAAAATGTGAATCGGCTGTCTTGTGGTCGCTGTGGCTTCACAAAGCTAGCTACTCCCCAAACATTAAAAAAGAAGTAATTAAAAACACCTTTACTGTAAACGAACCGCAGGGAGGAAGACGGGGGCTGCTGGGTGCGCAGCTGCACGCTGAGCCCCGGGAGCCTCCCACAATTAAGAGTGGAGGGTTCAAAGCCAGCGACCCACTCCTGGGGGGGGCTGCATACGGACGTTCTGAACTCTGATTCATACCAACACACAAACAAGTGTGTGATGTTGGGAGAGTCTGGCCAGGATGCTCTCTGGCTTTGAAGGCTGCATTCCCGCCCTGAGAGCCAGATAAGAAGCAGTGACCTTCCTCCCGGGGCTGATGGGATGGACTTCTACTTTAAAAACCCCAGATCCTGGTCATCTTTATCCACAGAGCAGACCGGAGGCTCCACTGGGAGAGAAACCTGCTCATTAAAGGTTGGAAAAGCCAGAAGCAGATTTCAACTTTATGTTTCAATAAAAGAACTTCAGCAAAACTGAAACTCCTGTTCATCAGCATCTGGTTTAAGGTACAGAGTTTCCTCACTGCTGTCTACCGTGCATAATCAATTGTGGTTAACAAATTGGCCGTGACGTCTCGCCCCAGCGTCACGGGTGATTCCAGTTTTCATGGATCCGCCCAGTTTTTGGAGACCTTTTCTGCACCCTGGGGGGCCTCTTTTTAAAAGCCGATGTGAAGCTAAGCGCAAACACGACGACTGTGAAATTAACACTCCACAGAACTGCTGACCGACCACAACCGGGTGATAATACACAGATCCGCGCCCTAACCCCACACACAGAGGCGCCACTTGATATGTATGATATTTTATTTGAATATATATATATATATGTTATTATTATACTTAAAATAGTTAGATCTACACCAGTAGGATCCAAATCAAACATTCCTGCATCCTTTGCGTCGCTGACATTTAAATAGATTACTTTCAATAAATGTTATTGCACCTGTTTAAAGCACAAACACAGACCAAGGATTTAAGAGGGAAAAACAGCCAGATTCTGCTGATTATAGCACTTAATGAACTGATCAATATCAGTCTAACTGCCTCTCTAAAAGAAGGCTGGTTGCTGTTTTCAAGCATACAGGCATGTTGCTAAAACAATACCAGACATAAGTAACGATGTTAGAGAAGCAGCTGTTGTTCCAATTAATTTGGGACAAGCTAAACAGAAGCTTCCAACATGTTCTGCATCAAAACACTTGGTTTACAATGAGGGGAAGCTTATTCACCCTAAAATGAAAAGATGCAGCAGGATCCAGTTAGTATGTTAAATGTTGAAGTCATTGTAGGATAATTTGAGAAGGACTGAACGAGTTTGAAGTAATTTGAAAGGTTAAAGGAGAAAATGTTGTTTAATGTGGTGGCAAGCTTTGGATTTAACAAACCACAAGACGAATGGAACAAGAACAGAGGAGTCTTATGTCAGTTAACTATGGGAGAGAATGGTGGAAAATGAAAAATCAACATGTCGGTGCAGAATGAAGCACATTTCCTGTTTTCAGTCTTAATTGATTAATTCTGATTCTCAAGTTTTACATAAATTCTTAGCATCTGCAAAGTGCTCAGAATACATCTTCAGAACCTCTACTTCTTATTTGCATAATTCTTGCTGAAATTTACTGAATAATATGAGTTATTTAGAACAATGTCCACCTCTGATCCCCAGCAGCAGCTTCAGTGGACCCTCATGTTAGTAGTCTTGATTTTTATTTTTTGGAAGCACACATAGCCTAATTAATATAGTCTATTAAACCTAAAGCAATATGCATGGTGTTGTTGTTACATGTCAGGTACTTCGGTCATTGATCTTGACCAAGGCACCTTAAAGCAGAACTGCAGTCACTTCCTGGACTGGCATGGCTATCATTACCAATACATAGTTAGGCACTAATGCAGAGGACACATTTCCCACTGAGATCAGCTTCAGGCTCAGGTAGGCCACTTCTTTGATTTTATTTATTTTGCTCAGGCTTATTGAATGTTGAAAGGGCAATATTATTACCATTATTGTTATTCCATCCATCCATTTTCTGTCACACTTATCACAAGCAGGCTCGTGAGGGGTGCTGGTGCCTATCTCCAGCTTTCTACGTACAAGAGTCCGACAAAACCTCAGCAGTAAAACAGATGCATCCATCGCAGGGCAACACATAGGCACACAGAGACAAACAACCATTCACACACACACCCAAGGACAATTTAGAGAAACCAATTAACCTAACAGTCATGTTTTTGGACTGTGGGAGGAAGCCGGAGTACCCTGAGAGAACCCATGCATGCAAAGGGAGAACATGCAAACTCCATGCAGAAAGACTACGAGCCAGGAATCAAACCCAGAACCTTTAGCCCATCTCATTATTGTTAATAAATAGAAGAAATTTGACTTATATTTAATAGTAAAATGTAACAGGGGATGGTATGGGGGGAGGGTCTTTTAAGAAGGGGGATGTCATCCCCCCTCAACTTGAGTACTGCGCTCATGTGTGATTTCTGGCCGTGAAGTGAAGGGATGGAGCTGGTTTGGGCTCATTATTCCCACCAGGTGGAGCAGGTCACATCCCTCTGAACCATGTCAGTCGCTCGCCGTTTGTTTTTCTTCTTAAAAAACAAGACTAAAAAGAAAAAGAAGAAAAAAAAAACAGAGCTCACCTTTCTCATTGGTGTCGGAGCGGTTTGATGTAGTCTGTTGTTGACGGATCGCAGTTAATGGAGCAGCAGGTGGACTCGGAGTATGATGATACAACAATATGGCCCATCATTTTCTCACGCCAGCTGCTCCCCCCCTGACAATCACAACCTTCTCTGCTGTCACTCAAACTCTACCGCCGTCTCGATAAACACCTCTGCCTTTCAGGGCTTTCTCGTTTTTCAAAACAAACGTCGGACAAATTAGATATCTCTGCGCCTCCTCTGCCATTTGGGCTTCTCTTACAGCGTGTTCTGAGTAACAACTCTAAATTGAGTTATTTTTCTTTTGAATGCAAGAGGAATGTTTTCAGCCAGGTGGGCAAAAACCTCTTAGTTTTAAGCTCTTACATATGATTGCACCTCCTCACTCATTGTCCCACCCGTTTTCCTGCACAGATTTTGAGTAGATGTTTGATTAGAGTTTAAAGGAACTAAGAAAGGAATGAATCAAGGAAGGCATAAAGCACAGAAAAACACAAAAAACATTTTGAATACAATGAGAAAGGAGATCAGAAAGAAGAAGGGGATCCATGATATGATGATGGAGGGATAAAAGGAAGGGGGGAAAAAGGAAAGGTAGGGCCCAACAAAGAAGGAACCAAAAGAAGGAAATATGCAAGGAAGCAAATAAGGAAGAAAAATAGGAAAGAAGAATAGATATAAAGAAAAGCAACAAGGACAGAAATAAGAGAAAAGAGAGGAAGGAAGTATGGCAACAAGGAAAAATCCAGAATGTGAGGAACAGCTATTTCAAATTTATTCTTGCCACTTGAATAAAGCAAAAATATTAACTAATGATAATTACAAACGATTCTTTACCACAAACGTGTATTTCTGTGATTGATTTAATGCACTAAAGGCATTAAGGCGTTGCTACGAAGTTAAAACCAACTTGTTTTATTCCAAAACATGTAGCCTACAGCTTGTTTAATTCCATCATGTTGGGTTTATTTGAACAGATCAACAGCAAACCATCAGGTCCCTTTGTTTCCATGAATGGAAAGTTAACAGACTTTCACTGTGTTCAGTAAACTGCGTCCTTCTCTGCGGGTCAAATCACCAACATTAGCGCCTGAAGCACGTTCTCCTAAAAGCCTGGCTCCTCTCGGTGCCCCTCATCCGTCAGCGGCCTGTGTGGCAGCTGTTGACTTAAACAAGCGAGATACCATCACATTAGCAGCAGAAAGGAGTGTGAAGTGTTTTACTTTGCACGTCGCCTCATTAGGCTCAACAAAACGAAGCAAAACGGCCTGGGTGCAGGTCGTGACCTTTTAGTGGGAGGAGCTGAGAGTGGGGACTTCATAATGGAGAGGAGGCAGCGTGAATGGGCTGAAAGCGAAGGTAGCAACCGGGTCAAGTGTCAGTGGTCCTGCTAAGCGGCCCTCGCTGAGTTTTTTTTCTCTTAACAAACACACGCACACATTGGCCAGCCTCCCGCTGACAATGCAGCCAAGCCTCCCACCATTCGCTGCCTTTTGTGCCTCTTCAACAATGATTAACTGAGTTTGGTGATTCAGAGAGTCTACAGAAGCACAAGGCTCTCTTTTTTTACAAAACATAATGGAGTCAGTCCATGCGTCAAACAGTCTGCTTTTCTTCCTTTCCTTTGTAGCACCAAACTTTCCTTTCTGCCCCCTGCTTGCAGCCCTTTCATGCCCCTCTCTCTGCTTTCTGGAGATAAATTTGTCTACCTCCCCCCCTGCCTCCAGTTCATTAATGCAAAGAGCAGGCATCCTCATGCACATAAACAAGATGCATATAGAAAGAGGCAGCATGGCTCTGAAAAGATATCGATCAGCTCAAATCAATAACTTAAAAGGCATCTCCTGCTAAAAAAAAAAAAATCTCAGAGCTGACCTCCCTGATCTTAAATATTCCTTTGATTTGAGAAGGAGAAATGTGGATGGAGACGGTTTTTAGAAGCCTAGCTACTAAACGCAGAGCCAGAGGGTCTCTGAAAGCTGAGATCTGGAGGGGAGAAAAGGGAAAAAAAAACTGGTATTCTTGTAATGAGCAGCATGCAGCACTGAAGGGAGCGTGTAGAACATGGTGCGCGTACAGCTGAACAAGAATGTTGACAGAAACAGTGCAATCTCAGAACATCACACCCCCGGGCCAATTACACGAGGTGTGAAGGAGCGCACCTCTCCTGATGACAGGAAGGAGGAGAGGAGGGGGGCCTGTCCAGAGCAGGAGGGAAGCAGCAGCTTTGGCAGGTTTTCTCTGGGCTGTTAATGTATGCGTCATTAAGAATTTGGGCAAACTGTTTGAAAGGTTGCGCCGGAACTCCGGGAGGATTTAAATATGAAGCACGACTGCAGGTAGTTCTGTTGGGGTCCGAGCCTTGGTGAGTCCAGGCCTGCCCACCTCTCTGCTGGGGCCTTTTCCTCCCTGCTGGCCGACCAACAGCTTGGTGCCAAATTAACCCACAGAAAGTTTTTCTAGTGCCAAACTAGGCCTACTTCACTAATGTTTTTTTTTTTTTTTTTTTGTCCATTATCCAGACTGTTTTAGAACCAAATTATGTTCTGAATCTACTTTTGGGATAAAAAGCTGAGGGAGATTATGATGGAGCTGTTTGTCTACCCTTCAGGAGCAAATATGCTGCAATGTTTGTAGAATAAAGAGATAAACACACTAACTTTTTTTCCAGTCGTCAAATCTCCTACCTGAACTAAAGACTTTTAGCTTAAACAAAGAAAAATGATCATCCTGCTCCTTTCCTCAATGCCAACAATAGCTGGTGGATGTTCTGGTCTCTTTGTGTTTGCTCCTCTCCTCTGTGTGACTACATCGGTCTCTGTGTGTTTCCGTCTTATTCAAACGCTGAAAACCCGACAAAACCTCAGCAGTAAAGCAACAATCTTCAATTTTAAAGAAAAAAGATGAGGCTTTTATCCACAGGTTTGAGACACAAAGGCGATGCAGACGCTCATCTGTCCTCAGCTTTTCTCTCATCTTTTTCAGAACGTCTGCAGCAGGAGTCAGGGAGTAAGTCAAGGCAAAGAGGAGCATCACAATGGGGGTCCGAGTGCATCTTCCATCCACTGTGGGCACCTTTCTGCTTCTTCTGACCCTTTGCTTTGTGACCGCTCTGCCTCAAGCCCTCCTGGATAAACCAGCTGAGGAGGAAAACGCCAGAAGCCCGGCGCTGCTGCAGAGGGTGAAGCGAGGCTGGGTGTGGAATCAGTTCTTTGTCTTAGAGGAGTACACCGGACTGGAGCCACTCTACATTGGAAAGGTCGGTGTTGACTGCCAGCGAGATAGCCCACACACACACACACGCACACACACTCACACCATCATGAAGGTACAACCTGAGGAAATGTGGAATGAACAACTCTTCAGCGTGACCTTTTCAGTCGGTGTTGCTGGTGTGAAGCTGAGTCGCTAAGAAGTTTACCTCAAACTTTCAACTAGAGCAAAGCAGCAGATCTTTGAGAGATCTGCAGCCTGAAGGAGGAGAGACGATCAGAGGAGGGCAAAGGCTGGCTTCAAAGGCTTAAAAAAACAAATCAATTTTAATCCCGAGGTCTTCAGACCTTCAGCAAAGCCTTAACTCCCACCCTCCCGACCAGAGAAACATGCAAACAACACAAAGCTAATGAAGGGAAGGATCATTTTCTTGGTTTTCTGACCTGGTGTAACTTAACCTGAGATGGAATAAACAGGTTAAGCAGGGAGTTTTATAGTAAATGTTTGTGAGAGTTTAGGATGGACATGGCTGCCTTTCTTTAAAGGCTTCCCTTGCAGGTCCAACTGGGAACAGACCCAGAGGAAAAACTACAAACAAGTTTGCCTATGTCCGATTTTTTGGCCAATATGCAACCTATATCTGATCTTTTTATGGCTGTCTGAACAACACAAATCCAAATTTTTCCAATGCGACCCAGGCCACTTGGCTATGTGGTCCTGAATCCGATACGAATCTAATCTTTTCAAATGCGACCATATCTGAATAGCCAGGTCGCATTCATCCAACCTCAACGCCATTAGTAACCGACATAGGTCACTATTTTGCTTCCTTTCTTGCCACAGAAGCGGCAAGAAAAAAACCCACCATGGCAGACGATGATGTGGAGAGCAGTAATTATGTTTAACCATATTGAAAAGATTTTAAAGGAATAGTACACCCAAAACATGATTAGCCTTCATTTTCTACTCACCCCCATGCTGAACAACACTCTGGAGTACTTTTTTGATATCTCAAATGCATCTGGAGATCTGGGAGGCTTCTTGCTGTCTGCTGACATTCAAATAATGGAGGTCTATGGTGCCCGAGGCAGAAAGGTCCATAAAAGTCCACAAAAAACGTGTCAATATTCCTCCATACTGCTCGTCCAATGTATTCTAAGTGTCCTGAGTGGGTAGCATCCAGAATTTACTCGAAACGAAGTCATTTAGAATGTTTTTATAGGCTAAAGAGTAGTGTATAGGATTTCCTGAAAGTGCGTTCACGAGTCTACAGAAACCGCGGCAGACCAAACCAGATGAAAGTGCGCATTCAGCTCGGCAAAGAACTCATGCTCTTCCTCAACACTGAAGTCCTCAGACATTTTTCTTTCTTTGCACAGGTAAACAGCACATTTCTTCTTCTACGCTTGCATTATCGGCAGAGCAGACGCTGAATGCGCTCTTTCATCTGGTTTGGTCTGCCGCGGTTTCTGTAGAGTCGTGAACGTCATTGCATCCTCTACTGCGCGTGTGGGACACTTGTGTTGTATGAATGCAGTTCACACAGGAGATCACATACAAGTCGCATATATTTGCAAATGTGAACGACAACACTAAAAAATTGAATTTCACAAAAAAATCGGAATTGAGGATCAGGGCCTGCAGTGTGAACGTAGCCTTAGATGTTCTTTGGTTCTCTTCAACTCGTTGGGTTCATCTTCGCAAACTACTAAAATAGAGCAGCTCTGATCTTTCAAACACCGCTGCCCTAATATTTCTTAGATGAGGCTTCAGCAAAACTTTAGCACCAACACTGCCTCTGAATTTAAAAATATGATAGAAACCTGATATATTAGCATTCTGCATCAACTTTAAATCCTCCACTTGAAAATTGCTGCATTCACTAAACAGCTCTCAAGTCGAGAGCCTATTAACATTCCTCTAAAAAACGTCTTAAAAAGCCTGTAAAATACCTCCTTCAGGTAAATTATATGCTGTTCTTGAACCATTTGGATCAGATGTAAAAGCTTGATGTCTCTGTGAAGGTAACACTGTGATTTTCGAAACCTGAGCAGTCAGACATGATGTCACTAGTTTGTATTTATTGAAGTTGAAACACAAAACTTTCAGCTGTTTTTTCCTTCATCTGGATTTTGTTTCACATATGGATGAATAAAGACAAGGACTGGTACAATAAGTTAAACAATGCTATAGAGTGTTATCTCCTACAAGGTCCAGCCAAAATGAAGCTTTTCCTCAGTGGTCTAAAGAAAAGATTCTTGAGAAAGTGATGCTCTGATGTTAAAATAATACACTTCATCATTTCACACCACGTCTCCAAAAGGTTGAGGGGCTTAACAGATTATGTTTAACTGGAGCTTCTTAAATTAATTTGCATCAAGCTTGGCTTTACTGAGTGATTATTCAAATCCAGATAGTGTCACTTATCCTTAAAAGTCAGTCTTCAACACTGAGGAGAAATAAAATCCTGAAAAGATGGTAGAGCCTCTCCTGTTCTCAGTCCACCTCCGTGTTGTTGTTGAAAGCCTATAGGGTTCTGGAAATGAAGCAGGTAATTGACCATGAGTTTTCAAAGGAGGTATAGAGGGAAAGGCTTTGGTTTGAGATGCATCAACATAAAGAACAAGTCTGAAAGCCATGATGCTGTTTTGATTTCAGAAATCTGCCTAAGCCTGATGGATTTGCAGGTTGGAGGGCAGGTAAGCATGTGAACCAAAACATAAAGGAAAGGCAGCATTGTCTGCTGTTAGGGAGTGATAGGTTTTGTAAAGAGGGCTGCTGAAGCATCCACTGCCCGACAACAAGGAGCTGTTTCACGGCCCGTCTCGGTCACTTCTTTCAGAGGCCACGGATGATGAAAGGCCAAAGCCAGCGTCTTGAAAGCAGTGTGTTTTCAGATAGAGTGCTGAGCCTGTGTGCTCGCCGCTCACGCCTGTTGATTATATACAGCACTGATACCAATGGAGGCATTGAATTTCACTCTGCCAACCTGATGGCGATAAGAACTCGTCATCATACACAGAGACCCTCTTAGTACAAAGTAAAGGCTGATTGCACATCAACAGGCTGGCATTTGCACTTAGAGGGCACAAAAGGCATCTGATTGCACCAATGGGTCCACAGCAACAAACAGGCAGCGAGCTGTGATTACAGGTCTGCTGCCTGTTAAAGGATTAAAGATATGCATGTGACCACCACCAGGTTCATAGTTTATTTACCTTACCAACAGGAGGTGTTACAGAAATGTAACATTTTCTGTCATATAGAGCAGTTTTGCTTCCAAAGAGTTTTGATTTACTGTATTTAGCAAGAAAAGACAGTGTATAGCTGAGAAAGCAAATGACAGGCTGCATTGTTTAACAATAATGCAAACTACTGATATGAAAACATCAAAACTTTTCAAATAATATACAAATAAATTGTAAAATAAAGGCTCACTTGCCTTTTTATTAGGTACATCTTGAAAGCAGCAGATTGAGCTAAATTTATATTCAGGCTTTATTGAAGATGGCTCCTTCCAGTTGTAACCCAAGGTGAGCTAAATATAGTTGTCATGGTGGGGACAGTGAATCTGAGTGCTCTAAAATAATTTAATATCATTTTTACAAGAGGTGCACCTCTAATTAAGGGAAAAAAACATTAAATGTTGGTTTTGATCGAGATTATGATCTGGATGCAAGGATTTTTTAAAGGATTTTTTTTAAACATGATTTGGTGAAAAACACAGTTCCCCTCTAAACCAGAGGATGGCAGCAGTAAATATTGACAGCTTCAACATCGAACATAAAGGGTCCTGAAGTATTATACTGAAGACAAAAACATTAAAAAAGGTCTCAATCCGCTGATCAAAGAAGAAGAATGAAGTGTGAATGAAGGACAGAGCAGAACAAACACCAGAGGCTGCAGACACACGCCTTGCCTTACTTATGAACTTATGAAGGGATTGCTGCACATTAAGAAAAGGAATGTGTCATGAAAGCTGTACAAAAGGAAATTTCGTTTTGTGTACACTCTTTCTATACAAAATTACATTAAAAGTTGTCCAAGTCTAAGACTTAAAGGAAATAGTTACCAAAGGTGCACCTCATGCTAAGGGGAAAAAATCGTAAAAACATCGTTATGATCTAGATAATGTGCGAGTTTTAGCTAAAGGTGCAAGTCACAATTTGGGGCAACATTTGCTGCTGGGCAGAGTTTTACACTTTCTGAGTGGTAAAACGTATATAATTATTACACATGTACAAATAAATATAGAGTGAAATAACTTCATATCATTTATTAGCGGTCAACAGTCTGTTGCGTTGGTGTTTTTTTTTTGTTTTTTTTTTTTGTGGCCAGAGGCTGAAATGTTTGGGAATCCCTGCATTAGGTAATTAAAAATACATCCGTTCAGTGGAGTTACTGTATTTCAAGACTTCCACGGACAAGTGACACAAAAAGCTCACATTTCGCACATCCAGTGGAAGAATTTAAGTTTCAAGTAGAAGAGCTGATTTGGTCACATTTTGCCATTGCAAATGAAACTGAGTAATGTCTTATTTTAGCACATAAACAAGCTTTTAAAAATCTGATCCAAGTTTTTATCACGTATCTAATCAGGCTGTAAAACTACTGCTTCGCTAAGAAACTGTACAAATTGAAAACAAAGTATGTACTGTACACATCACTTAACTGAGAAATAAGGGAAGGTTTATTCTACAGTTCATCTCATACAGCCTAAAGATCACTTAGCTCTCATGAGGTTGGTTGCAGGCCTTTATTTATCTTTAACCAGTCTCCTTTTAGTTTATGAGAATGGAATATATTTTCTCCAGGTTAGCAAGATCTCAGATTTGTTTGCTCCCCACTGATGACATTCAACTATTTTCTATGATTTTGCAGAAAAATGCCAACAATTTGCAATACAAAACACAACAATGGTTTTGCAGGGAAATGAGGTGAAGTGAATGTAGAAAGGGAGATTGCTGATTGGTCAGTTGCTCACAAGCCCACTGGATTGACTAATATTTTACATCATGTTAATTGTTCCTGAAAGGCATATATTCAACCAAGTGTCTAAAGCCCCTGTCACACCTTGACGATTTAAACCAGCCTGACATTAAAAATCTGGCAAAAACACCGGCATAAGTGCGGCTGAAGTACGCTGGCGCACGTCGATATGCGGCAAGTACGTCAAGACGTATGCCAGCGTATGCCATACATGGGCCATAAGTTACAGATAAGTTATCTGATCGTTGACATACGTTAAGTGTAAGGTACTCATAAGTCGTGGAACTTATCTCCAACGCTTATCAACGTATTTTACGTGTTCCAGATGACCGCTGAACGCGTTTCTAACTTACAGCTACTGTTTACTGGCATATTGGCGTTTTGGCATAAAGGGGGGTTCACAGGAGGAAACTGTCAGTTCTCCAGACTTCATCCCCATCATAGGGTGAGCGAGAAGGTGAGTGATGGATCCTCCCTGCGTTCACGTCCACCACCAACAAACTTCCTAGCAGACATGATGCTGAATCTGCTGCAACCACAAACCTTCTGTCTTTCTTTTTCCTCTTTCTTTTTTCTTCTTTTTTTTTTGGAGCGGGCAGTAAACAGCAGCTAGGTCAATACAGCAATAAAAGAAATCTTTTTATATAGACAGGGAGCCTCCGGGCGCATTGCTGCTCCCCTCAGGAAACTGGTTTGTGCATTACATCATGGGCATTACTCTGCCATGCATTATGCATAATTTAGGCTGTTATTGGACATAAGTTCTGGACTCAATATGAATACAGTATGTATACGCCCAAAATTTAACAAAATACATGGAACATTCTGCGCAAGCCAGCATTTTAGAAGATTGTGGCAGGTAGGGCATACGCTTGCTAAATCGGCAAGGTGTGAATGGGCCCTAAGTCTTTTGGTCCATATTGACTCAAGATGATCAGAGAGCTGCAGAACCGACATGGAAATCTGAGAATCTGCAGTTCTACATCCTAAAGGTTTTGCATCTGGTAAAGATCTAATGCCTCCGAATGCTATCGGAGTGTTTCGAACTCTTTCGATTTCACATTTGAGATCAATTAAAAACATTTAAAGTTTTCCTGCTGCAATAAATAACAAAAAGCTGACTGTATTGGCTTTATATAGCCGGTGCTTTATGGTCTTTGTTGTATTTTGTAGGTTAAGATGCAAAAACAAATGTGTGTAATTACTGCCATTAACAATGCTATCGATAGCTAAATTTGGTTCCAATATTATCAGAATTTTATTACGTAACTCAACTTTTTTCAATAGAACTCATATTAATTACAATAAAGAGTTAATTTTACACAATTATTGTGTGGTTTTGTAGTTAATCCCGATGGAAAACCACTGACCAAGTTCTGCATCTCTGTTTAATCCTGGCAGTAATATGAGATTATCGCCACCTACTGACCCAAGGTGCTATCAATGCTTGTGAGGATTTCTGCATCTTTTAAGTTTAGTTTAAAATGTTATTAGTAAGTTAAAAAACTAATGTAGTATTTAAAAAAAACTTTGTGAGCTTTACTTCACCTACCTGTTTATCGTCAACCATCTATCAATAGTTTAATGATTTTCCTCAAACTTAGTATTAAAATAAACTTGTGCAGCTTCAATCTGACTTTATCTAAATACCACGGTCCAATCTGGTCCAGCTCCAATGTTAATTTGAAAGCTTTTATCAGCTAATACTGATGTCCTGCTGATAATAGTGATAAGCCTGCATTTTCACAAATAGCTGTTGATTATTTTCTGTTTAAATCAGCTCATGTTTATCTCTGCAGGCCTTTTTTTTTTCCTCCCATCAGTTTGCTCTTCAGGGACAGAGGCACATGTTAACTTGGACTAACATCATAAGGCTCATTTGGCCTGGAAAGTTATTTGGTTGTCTTATCTGCATGTTTTTTAGGAGTGCAAGGCAGCTGTATTGTTGTAAAACAGGGAGATGTGACCCATTTGACTGCCCTCGAAAAACATGTTGGCGACAAAAATACTGAGCAGTGGCTGAATTTAGAGGCAAACTTGTTGATTTTTTTATGCAGACCGATTATGAGATAAGCTTCATAATCTCAGAGTGCTTTTTTAATTGTGTTTCCTTCAGCTGCACTCTGACATGGATAAAGGTGATGGTTCCATCAAGTACATCTTGACAGGCGAGGGTGCCGGTTCCACCTTCACCATTGACGACAGCACTGGAGACATCCATGCCATCCAGAGGTTGGATAGGGAAGTGAAGTCCCAGTACCTTCTCCGTGCCCAGGCCCGGAACCGCCTCACAGACAGACCTCTGGAACCCGAATCCGAATTCATTGTAAAGATCCAGGACATTAACGACAACGAGCCCAAGTTCCTGGATGGTCCGTACCAGGCGACCGTTCCAGAAATGTCTAGAATAGGTAAGCTAAAGGGAAAAATCATGTCAGCTTGATTTCCATCCCAGCTACTGTAAATAACCCCCAAACTTGTGTTTTCTCTGAACATTTGCTGCTGTTGTTATCCAGGAACGTCTGTCATCCAGCTCACAGCTACAGACGCTGATGATCCCACATATGGAAACAGTGCTCGTGTCGTCTACAGTATCCTGATGGGGCAGCCATACTTCTCTGTGGACGCAAAGAGCGGTAAGGTTGGAGACATGCTGCAAACCTCCTATGGTGCTTTCAGAGTGACCACTGCAGCTACAACCAGCAGAGTTTTTAACTTTTATGTTGAAAACTTGAGGTTTAAAACACACCAGTTAAAATTATAAGTTGACTACAGTTGCAGACTGATGTTTACATATGATCTGTAGAGAGTAGTTTATGTCACAGGGTAGGAGTTTCCTTTTGTTTAAAGAGTAATCTGTGTGGAAAAAAATAAATAATCTGTATAGCATTAAATGAAATAACAGTAGAAATAGAAATAATACAGACCCTTTTTTTAAACGTTTGTTTAAAAAGAATAGAAGAAAACGTTTATTTATTTTTACACCCACACCTCATACTGTGTATTTACATCTTTTGTAAAAAAGAGTTAAAAAGCACTCAATCTATATTTGTACACCGGTGGATCAAATTGTCCAAAAAAAATTAGCTAAGCTTAGCATTTTAAAATCATGTTTGTTGCTCCGTTTGAAAAAAAAAAAGAAACGCATTATTTCAGATTAACTAAATCCACATTTGAATAAAACCAAGAGGTGAGCAATGAAACAACTTCATTATTCAACCATTGCACCGTCAATGCAGTTTAATTTAGCTTTAGCATATTTTTGGGTGTGGTCACACAAAAAATGGATTTTGAGCATCAGGGCGTTTGGTTTACATGCAAAGTCTATAGGAGACGGCACCGAGGAGCTTCTAGAGTCTTATAACGTTTCAAGCGTCGAGGCCAATTGTCCAGTATCCATAGTGTCACACAACGGAGTAGGGAAATCTGAACCTTGAAAGCTGGAAGCATCAACCAGTTGGAGAAGCTGATCCATGAGCTGCCTTGGAAAGTCAAGTCGCTCTCTAGATTACAAGGAAAAGAACAAAGCAGCTCTGCAAATAGAATGTTGAGCATCCATAGCATCTGACATCAAAATGCACAAGCTTTCAAGATGAGATGTTGGACACCTTTTCGATGAATGCTCACCATTAGAGCTGCACCAGTAAAGCGAAGCTTAATCAGAGTATAGTCATGAAGAACAAACAGAGCTGGTACTCTTGCAGGTTCTTCAGTGTCTCTGTTTTTTCTCTTGGCAGCCTGTCTGAACATTTCCAAACTTCTCTCTGCCAGCTTTGGAGAAATGCCTGTTTTTTGTAATGCCCCTTTTGTCCAAGTTTTTTGGTATTAATGAGAAATGGTTCTTTCTCTTTCTCCTAAGTGATAGCTTTAAATAATTTGCTCACTCTGCTCAGTTATAACCTCTCTACAAGCTCTGGCTCTCTTTAGTTAGTTTTAACATATATTTCACAGTACAAGGAAAAAACATGTTTTTGAATCTCTTAAAGGGGTCATAGAATGATTTGCTGTTCTATGAGCCCTAATGCAAGCCTGGTTAAAAGCCCCAGAATGAAATGACATTCTTTTATGGTATGCTCATGAATATTTAGATGAGCTGTGCTCTGATTGGTTGGTTTACGACGAGCGAAGCTGCTGAGCAAAGACTCATCACAGCAACAAGCACTCAGTCACTGAAACATCAAATTGTTTATATGGTAGGGAGACCAGACGACCTCTTTTTCTCAGAAATGTCCTACTTTTCATACCTAAAAAATGAAAAATGGATTTCAGTCGACTTCAGTGCAGCACGTAGTTGAAACACACCGGCCACTCGAAGCGGTCCTTCAGCTCCAAGGCTGGTCTGAGAACCCCGGCAGACGAGGGCAGGGAGCCAGCAGGTGCGGAGGGACCCAATGTAAATTTCGGGGCGTGACAAAAATACAGACCAGAACCAAATAATGCAACATCCCCAAGTTTATGTCAGCTTGGGGCTTTGTTTGGATTTGCCCATTTTATGGTGGAAGTTTAGAATTGTGAGATTTGCAGAAAAAGGATGTGTTGATGGGGTTTGAACTTCTCTGCACCCACTGAATTATCGTTATTCATCTATGACAATGGAAACTCGGTTTTAATTTCTAAGACCCTTTAATATTTTCTTCACATTTTAAAAACCTGTCTTATTTTTTTTCTTTAATCATTATGTAAACTTTCTGAAGTCACCAACGTAGTTTTATCTCTTAGTAAAATTGACAGATCTTTTTGACTGGTTTGCTGTTTCTTCCTCCTTTCTTTCCCTGATCCAAGCTGAATTAGCTCCAGTGCAGTTTCACTCCTCACTTTATTCCCCTGTGTAAACCAACCAGCTCAAAGTGTGGGGAGCTCAGCATGGCTCCTGTTGTTGCTATGAAACTACCCATCACGTTGCTTTGTTGCATTTTGCCACATCTAAAAACTCACTCATGGCAGCTGACAAAGAAGACGTGTTAGGCTTAAAAGTGTGACTTTCCTGTTGATAATGAGGACAGAAGGCAGTTTGTAGCGTGGAAAGAGGCTGCCTGAAAAAACTTTGAGCTTGTAATTGATGTATAGCCTTTAGAGGTGTTATTCTCATCCGAGACATGTTTTATTATGTTTTTTATTTGGGTATTAATTTTTAGTTTTAATAACAGCCAAGTTAATCCTTCAGGATGATGTCAAATCTCATTATTCTTATAAAACTACCGTTTTTCGTTAACATAAGTAGATCTTTCTAAGCCTGAAGCAGCTGCATGCTTTGTGGGCCCTCTGATTTAAAAAGTTACCTGAAAATAACAGGGACAGTAATATGGCTGCCAAATGGCATTGTCAGTTCAGTTTTTAATAAAACATTTAAATCAGGAAATTGTCTTTATATCAAACTGAATGATTCTACTTAAAAAAAAAACACTTTAGATTTTAAAATGGAAAAATTTTATTTTTTTAATATATTTTTGTATTTAAAAATTCAATGTAACATGGATGCATAAAAACCTAATTTTTTTCAGTGTTAAATTCTGTTTAAAGTAACAGATTATAATCATAAATGTCTCCGGACCTTTACTGGTAGTTGATTTTCTTTATTCTGACCCCGCTGATTTTTAATTGGGTACCCCGGCATTAGACATTCAGACACTCATCTAAAGTTGCCTAATCACTATATAGTGCCCTTTATAGTGGTTAAGGGAGAAATTCAGACACAGCCTCGGTCTTTAGGGTCATGCCAACCAACAAAACAGACTTTGCTCAGTTTTTTCTGAAGATTTTCTACCCATTCCAGGAGTCTTTCTCAGTGATGTCAGCTTGTTTCTAGACTATGTATGAAAATATAACTCATCTAAGGACGCCGGCCGACAGAGGGGGACAAACGGGTCAATTGTCCCAGGGCCAGGACAGAGGGGGGCCCCAAAATTGACTCTCTGACCATTAAAAATATAGGCAGAAGTAATTTTTCAAAAAATATTTGTGTGAAAAATATTTTATTTGCAGGTGTAGAGGGAGGGCCCAAAAAAACTGTGATGTCCCGGGTCCTAGCAAAGCTGTCAGCTGGCCTGCATCTATGATAGGAGAAGCCTGAGGGAGGGAGGGACCTGGCAAAGACAAGCAGAAGCTTTGAAATGATCACAAAAGAGAAACGAAAAACTATTATAGACTTTGGGCTCTAGCAATGATTAAAAAAAGACAATTAAAACCTTTGGAGAAACAGAAAGATGAGTTTGAGAATGAATCAACTGGCAGATCAAGGCTGTTTGATAAATAAATATCTCGTTACCATTTAGCTAAATAAATCCATATCCCAATAATAGACATGACTAAAGCCAAGAGCTCCAGCAAATGAAAAATATTGACACCTCCTAACTAGTTTATTAGGTCCATTGTGGTAGATAACAGTGTGTTGGATCCCATTTGAACTGCCCTTATTCTCCATGGATTAGATTCAAACTGACATAACGCCATCACAGGGTAGCTGCAAATGTCAGCTGCACCTGAAAGGTGCTCTATGACTTGAGCTTTGTGACATTTGGCATTAAAATCTTTAGCCAGACAAGGCTGGACAGGTTCAGCAACAGTATCCAGGTTTAAACAATGATCAGTTACTAAGAGGGGAATATTGTGCCAGAAACGTTTGAAACATGGCAGCATGGATCTTTTTTTAAAACTAGATTCAGTTGCAGCTGAAATGGAAACCAATGTTTTTTTTTGCACCCATTATTGTCTGATTTGGTTTCCTGTTCTGAACGACAGATGTGGCAAATAGTTTGGTCTTCTGTTCAAAACAACATCTTTTTTTGTACAGAGAAGATTTCCTACAGATAAGTTGATATCTGGGTGTGTTTCTATTTTCTAACATCTTAAACTGATCTGTGAATTTTCTCTGACGTCAACAAGGTGTTTGACATGGTACACCTGACACTGACAGACTGCAGATCCACAGTTATACTAACACCAGTGTGCCTGGCAACAACAGCCATGCCAAGTTCGAGGTCACTTAAATGTTTTTTCTTCTCCACTCTGAAGCTCACGTTGAACTTTTCACCATGTCTGGATGCCTAAAAGCATCAAGGCTGGGGGTTAAAATCTTCTTCTGTAAAGCAGAGATGTGGAAAAAAATGGATTCTGACTTTATGAACAAAAGTCATAACCCAAAGATCTTCCTCGCTGAGAAACACAAAAGTCAGAACCCAGAACCAGGTGCACACATGCACCAAATCCTGCACCTTGTGCACAAAGAGGAAAAATGTACAGGTGCTGGTCATAAAATTAGAATATCATGAAAAAGTAGATTGATTTCAGTAATTCCATTTAAAAAGTGAAACTTGTATATTATATTCATACATTACATACAAACTCATATATTTCAGATGTTTATTTTGTTTAATTTTGATGATTACAAATGACAACAAATGAAAATCTCAAATTCATCATATCAGAAAATTAGAATATTACTGAAGACCAATAAAAACAAAGGATTTATAGAAATGTTGGCCAACTGAAAAGTATGAACATGAAAAGTATGAGCATGTACAGCACTCAGTATTTAGTTGGGCCTCCTTTGGCCTGTATTACTGCAGCAATGCGGCGTGGCATGGAGTCGATCAGTCTGTGGCACTGCTCAGGTGTTATGATAGCCCAGGTTGCTCTA